CCACCGAGGACTTTTATTGCAAAGCTGCTGCGTTAAGCCTGCCGCCACAGCTGATGTGCATAGGCACCAAGGTCATACCGAGCCGTTTGAAACTGTGCTCATTGGCCTGTGGCTATTCAATTTGTTGTGGAGCGAGGGAGGTGATGAAAAGGAAACGACTCGTGGGGTAAGAAACTCTGGAGTTTAGAGAAAGTAGCCTAGACATTTTCTCCTTCACTCACTGTTCTCAGCTGGAGCAATCAGTCTCGGGTTAAAAGTGGCGAGCGAATGTGGCACGAATAAACACAAATGGAAGAACAAACTATAAAACGTGTGCATAGATGCAGTTAAATTCCCTCCAGTCTGCCAGATATTTCTCACATTGGATACATAATGAAGATGAATGAGATCATCCAGCACAAACTAAATGAGAAAACCACAGTTGGTGCTTTAGAAACCTTTGGTAACAGGATGTTTTACGTAAGATAACAAGATATAAGTCTTAAACTACACCCCATTTTAATTATTCATTGTGATGTCTGTGTATAGTTATTATTATTATTATTTTTTGCAGCGCTTCACACTTGTATATGTGATATTCTTCATTCTATGCTCTCAGCAATCAAGTGTATAAATTATGCACGTTTCCTTTGGGTTTGCAGTGCAACAAAAAAAAAAAAAGGCATGCATTAAACATGAAGACGTATTAAAATAAAATAGACAAATACAAATGTCTCATTTTTTTCAGATTCTTAATGAGTTTTTTCCTTTCTCTTTTTCTCATGTTCTAAGATTGAATACTGTCATTTGAATGTACAAGGGCACTGGCTATGATCGTGTGACAAAAGAATAATTCAAAGCAATCTTTATTGCTGAAAATGAAAAAGAAATGTGATTATGAGCGCTACTCTGTCTTGCACCACAAACCTATTCTTGCTGCACATACATTAGCAAAGAAAGCTGTGCTTTATGCAGGCTTTACTCCTGACTAATGTGAAGAAACTTTGGCCTTAAACTGAACAGTGTTTTTCAAAGATGTCGCTGTTATTTGTTTGATTGTTATTGTTTACTGTGATACAAAAAGCTTTATAAAAAAAATTCACAGATAGGATAATATGTTAGTTTTGCTGGATACTATTTCAGAATCAGAATCACTTTATTTTACCAGGAATGTCACACAAGAAAGGAATTTGTCTTGGTCAGTGTTTGTGTGAAGTGTAGCACACTGAACAGACTAGACAAGCAAACAGATTAACAAATATTATTCTAAGTGACAAATAAAATAAAATTATAGTAATAAAATAGAGTAATAATACAGGGCCAGTGTGAAAGGAGCTAAAGAGAAGTGTGAATATCTATGCATATGCAGGTCTGAGTAGATATATAATGACTATATACAGAATAATACAGAATAATATTAACATTTGTAAAAGATAAACATTTGTACAGTTGTGGGAATCAGCATTATGTTACAGATGAGTTATACTGTAACACAGTAAAGAGGTTTGTTAGGTTCCGTTTAAGTTTGAAGTGTGAAGCTGTGGTTCATGAGCACTACAGCTCTGGGGAATAAGCTGTTTGAATATTAGCTATTTGAATAGTTCCCAATACTTCCATTCGCCACATCTCAACACTGAATTGAGGAATAAAAGACTCCGTTCAGCTGCTAGTCCTCCTAAACACTGATGAAACAGGAGTATGTGTGCAGAAGACACTGCTGCCACCTCCTCGGTGGAACATGTAATCTACTGTATATGTCATTTAAGGAAAGCATTACCTCAGAGTGTAACTGCCAAGCGCTACAGTAATTACTGCATGTTGTTTCCTCTGATCATAATACATTTTCCCCTGATCATAATTTCCTTACAACTGCAGAGGATGGCTGTGTTGTCTCTGAGCATTCCAGCATCTCAGAGACAAAATCTGCTCACGCTGTCAGAAATAAAGATGCTGCGCAGGTGCATTTTTGTTTATCAGGGTACAAACAAGGTAAATGTTCTCTCAAAGGTACAACAGTCCAACTGTGTACCACAAGTTTTTCTCAGGGAAAAGTACGTATTTGTAACCTGATGTTTAAAACAGAACAAAAAATAAAAACGCTGGAGACCAGACATGGTGTGTATGGAGTCAGTACAACTTCTACAATATAACTGCAATGGATTGTAGTACAATTATGTTCCCTGACTAAAGGTACTGAAGACATACCCTTGAGGGTGCCACCCTGGGGACAATAGAGGTACCACTCCAGTGACCGTTTAGTATCATTTTTCTGAGAGTGTGAAGCAGTAGGTCCAGACAAATATCAAAATATCTCTTTCAGTGAATGACAGAAGACACCACTGCATCGAAAACCCTGCTAAGTTCAGTTTTCTCAGACTGTTTGATGTAACTTGTTGCAGTTTTCAAATTGCAGCTTTTTAAGTTGTTTGAAATTATACATGAAGTTGATTACAAGCTCTTAAGTTTAACAAACAAAGTAGAAGTGTACATCCAGGGCTGGGCAAAATACATTGAAAAAGTAATAATGGCTGAATACTGAATAATATCATGATCACTATTCAGTAACGTGTTCCACTGCAGTACATAACAAAGTAATGTATTGAGAATACATTTAGAATACATTTACAATACATTTACAATACATTTTGATAGTACATGGGAAAATTTCTGCTGTAATTTTTATTTCAGACTGTTTCTCGCTGTTACTGTTTGTCAGTTCTGTTTATGTCCTTCTCCTGATGTTTCAGGAAAATTTCAGTTATTCAAATGAACACAAAAATGAATACAAAATTCTCAACATCATTTTGGCTCTTATTGCCTGCTTCAGTCCACTGCTACTCCCATAATCCCACTGCCATCTCATGACCTAAGTCAATAATTCAATATGTCCAAATAAAAAAAATCTAGCAAATTTGACTATAAAGTGAGGAACTATGTGATTTTCAGTTACTGATATGTGTGTAACTTGTCATGGAATGCACACACAAGTCCAGTACAGTAACTTTATAAACTTCAGTTTATATTTACTGAGAATGTGTCTAATTACTCAGTTCAGTCATCCCTCAAAAGAGCCTGAGTTAACACTCAGATTAATAACTAACTCATCACAGTGATTTATCAGTCTACTCAGGCTTCAACATTCAACATTCATAAAGAAGCCATTTTCTGAGTTTATCTTTAGAGTAAGTCTTTGCACGCTGTGTGCTGATTTTAAAATAGTTACTTAATGAGCACTAATGGGGTAAATATTCACTAGCAGGTAAATATTCTAAATATATTCTCCTAAAAATGTAAAAAGTAACTGTATTCTGAATACTACCTTTACAAAATGTAGCTGAATACAAATACTTCGTTTCTGCTTTCTGAATACATATTCACATCCCAACCCTGAATACATGACACAAGCTATACTATTGCAGAAACGTTTAAGTTCAAGTAACAACATCATAGATTAATTTATCAATTTTCACAAGATTGAGATCATTTTAATGATCACAAGCTGAGATATAAAAGAAAACTTTCCAAAAGAGTATTCAGAGTTACATACTTTCACAACAACTTTGGGAAAAACAGAGTTGGCAGTAATTTAAGTTTTGTTACAACCAAACTGACTCCAGAGCAGAGACACTAAACACATTCATGGTTAGAAACACTAAAGCATGTAAAGTTCATGAAGACATATATTTAACCCATATATAACATGTGAAAGTGTTGTTTGTGTGAAAACAACATCTGAAGGAAAAATAGGAGCTAATAAACAGAAATGCTCCCAGGAATGCTGGGCGACTCAGCCGTGTACTCTCTTACTACATCTCTTTTTGAGTTTGATCTACTCACTAAAATAAGTACATTTGAATTTTCAACCAGAGCATACAAACAGGTTGCCTGGATTAAATGATAACTATTTGTAAGAAAATAAGCACCTTGATTAATTAAGTACAAATATCCTCAGGGCTTTCAGTGTAGACACCACTAGATAAAATACAACAACGTTCATAAGGAAATAAATTCACGATTAACAATAATCCCAAAAAATAATGTTTCACACAAGCAATGTGGTTCATTAACAGTTTGCAATGACTGCCAAGATAACTATTCTCTACAGATCTACACAACAATTGTTTAGTTTTTAAAAACTTTCCACATTAATACAGAATTAAACTGACGTGTGCAGTCATACATGTGCATATCAATTATTTTACAACAACTTTAAACATGGCTCAGCCAATCAGATTTTAGAAGCAAAGCTATCCGTTTGTAAAAAATGAAAAGTCAGCCCAACTTAAAATAGGAGCTTATTCCACAGCTTTTCATGAAACTTCTAAACTTCTTAAAACTTCTTCTAAACGTCAAAACTTCTTTAACTCACATTTTTTAAATTCTGCATCACAGTTAGGTAATGTTTTTTACTCAATTTTCCACTAGCAGGGAAAATTCACACAATCCCATAAGGCATTTCTCTTGTTGGTCTCCCAGTCACAGTCGGCTGTGGCACTTCTGGGGTTCAAACTCATAGCCTACTGATGTTGGGGTGATTGCAGGTAAAAATGTATTAGTCTGTAAATTAACAATTTAGTTGATTAATTAATTGATTAAAGTTAGTGAACTGATGTATTTCATAACTAAAATGTGCATCAGGAAATCTGGAGAAAATACAAGAGAATACTACAACTGTGATCATAATACTACACATTGTGTTCGCAATATGCCTCACAATAATCTCACAATGTCACAATAATCTGACTGGACTTTTGCCCAAATAAATATACTTTTGATCACTTGATTTATCAAAACACCTACAGAAACACTCATCTGTACCTATGATTGATCAGGATGCTCACAGCACACTGTGACTGGTTAGATGGCTCATTTGCATAGTGCACTTTTTTGTAATATCAGTGTTGCAGTATGAAAACTATTAACAAGCAGTATTGTGTATTGTGGTGCTATCTGTACTGCTATTCACGGCTTTTGCTCTCTCTGTTTCTCTGCTCTGTCTGTCTGTCTGTCTGTCTGTCTAGGATGATTAAGAAACACAAGCAGAAGGCTTCCCCACAAGTTCTGCTGCTCATCTGCATGGTCGCACTCTTGCTATCACCAGCAAATACTGCAGGACATAATGGTGAGTTGTGCTTGGCAGTCTAGGCTTGGTTATTGGAGTCTCTAAGCAAGTCTCTAAGCATTATCAGGTCAAATTGTGTTCATACTCCTGCTTCACAGTCACAGGCCCACAATGTTATAGGAAATCTTTACTAGAAAATCATGCATTTAGCATTCTGATGTGATAGACGATTTAAAAGTTATTTTCATGTGAAAACGGTGGAGTCAATACAAATTACAAAGGATGGGTCTGAATGAGTGCAAAATGACTGATTTCCATAAAAAATCCAACAGTAATTGTATTGCAACTGTATTTTAAGCTAGTCTTCCTGTAAATAGACTTTCCTAAAACTGCTTAATCAACTGGGACAGCAGATACTGTTTGTGTTTCTGGGCAGGCCATGAAGCTACATCATGAATATTTACAAGATATGAAACCATGATAGCAGCAAATTGATTATATATCATATTCCAAGAAATAGACTAAAGTGTGTGGTGTATAACTCATTAACTGAATCGATGTACCCATTTTAATTACTGCCATGTCCATTGCACTGATCCTCTAGTGGCAAATATGCATTCATTTAATCACATTTTTCTTAGCAAAGCTAATATACTGAAATCTTCTAAGTCTCTGTAATGTCTAGTAAACACTTTGTTGCAGAATTACTGTTTTTAATGTGGGCAGTAAGAAATGTGTACATGCTTTGCACGTACAGTAATGTGCAAAAGTCAGTGACCTCCCTTCAGTTTCCAGTCAGTACAGATTTTAAGTACAAGTTCATTTTTTCAGGACATATTACTGAGGAGTTTAGATATAAGATAATCCACCTGCATATGTATAGGGGGAAAGTCAAATGCAAATAAGTAAAATAACAGGAGCTTCCAAAAAGTGAAATAATAAAAAGATACAGAGAAAACAGGACTCCTAACAACCTGGTAGACCACCAAAATTGTCATCATCAGATAAACAGTACTTGAAGCCTTCATCTTTGAAAGACAATCAAGCTCCACTCTTGCTTCATATCTGAAAAAATCCCCGAGGTGTTTCTGCACTGTGAGAAAGGATGTGCAGCCATTTCTCACTAAGCTACTCAGAAAAGGAAATAGACAAAAAAAAAGTAAAAAAAATATCAAACAAAGAAGCTGCCGGTGTTCTCAGAAGAATGGAGTGACCACCCCAGAGTCCAGACCTCAACATCATTAAATGTGTCTGGGATTGCTTGCTTTGTGAGAAGCAGAAAATGCAACCAACTTCTGCAATATAGAAATATATAACTACAGATTTCTTTGAAAAACTACAAGCTGTGAGAAAGGCAAATGGTGGGGACACTAAATATTAAAAAAAAAGATATTATAAACTAAGGGTGGGCCATAACTTTTCCACAGTACTGTAGTCACTGATCATACTGATTCAATTGTTAGCTTTAATCTGCAGGGGATGCAAGAATGTAGATGTAGAAAGAAATCTGCTGACTGAATATGAAATAATATGAAATTAATTTAAATGTACAGATGTAATACTACTTTTGTAAGCAAGTTCTATACTTTGAATCCCCATACAACTGCAGATGTACCCTGTGCTGCCAGACACCGATATCCTGGGTGACATGTGAGCCTGCTTACCTTGACAAGCAGTATTTGCACATCCAGGTGTAAGGCAGCTTTCAGCCAATTAGGGAGGAGTGGTTCTGGTGAAGTGGCGGCAGCTTTGGCTCACTCATACTCGAGATGCTCATCATCTTAGCAGGGACTGGATCAGAATTAGCTTGCATGAGTTCAATTTCCATCTGATAATGTCGGTACACTCTAATTTCCCCTGGGTTTTATTTCTGGAACTGTAAACCTATTATCATTCAAAGCAGGCGGAGCTTTCGCGGCATTGGGAGGAAAGTAAAATTGTCTCTGAAATTGAATGGAAGTGAACAAATGTGCAATTCAAATCACAAAATCACAAACAAAAATAAATTGCTGTAGCTTTACATGGCACTTAGATGTTGAGTTTTGTGAGTTCTAGCAGTATTCCAATAATAACACACATACATCTCCATTTTCCACACAAAATGAACCATCTTGTGCATATGTACATAATAGAAAGGCTCTTATTTTATTTATTTATTTAATTATTTAATCTATTATTTTATTGGCAGCATGCATGTCTGAATGCATACAAACATGCATATTAATGGTTTGGTCAACGCGAGTCTTTTAATTGCACTACAATATAACATCTATTCATCGGGTTGTAGCATGTCAGCATGTCAGACTTATAGTAGTTTCAGTAGAAGCTTAATACTTAAAAAATAAATCATTGCATGAACTTCATTTAATTATGTCACACATTTCCATTCAATCGAATAGTAGATTCAGCATATATAGACCTTGTTACCTATTAAAACTCAACGAATAATTTATTTCACATGGACATATTTTCAGTTTTATTTGCATGTTTAACCCCTGAAAATCCCCAGCTTATTGCATGCTAAGGTTCAGTATTCAGTAACTACATGAACTTTAATATAAACTGGCTGAGCTATTCTTAGGTTATAGAAGTGTGTGATAAAACTTTGGGCCTGCTGGTGGGCCCTGGGCCATTTAAGGGTTTAAATGTTTAGGAGCTGGTGTGTTTATGGAACTTTAAAATGCCTTCTTATTACAGTGTTCTCCATTTCCATGTTTAGATTTTACATGCAACCATTTGGCGATGGCTACAGTGGCATCAGTGGAGTCAGTTTGCAAGTCTGTGTCTGGTTCAAATTGAAAACTGGCTAAAAAGGACATGGCTATTGGAAATTTGATTTACCTGACACATAGCATCAACAAATAAGAGAAAGAAGATGCTACAGGCTACAAGCTACAGAGACAAAAGAAATTGTAATTGTTTGTAATATATCTCAGTGGGGTATTTTATGTTATGTTTTTTATTGGACATGCCCACTTCTTCACTGTGTAAGGGCCTAGCCAAATTGCCAGGGACTTTACAAGATCCCAACCTGGCTGAAGAGCAGTAGGAAGGCCTCGGGGTGCGCTACATAGTTGACTAGGAGCAGGATGTACTAAGGCTGTACCTGGAGTGACTTTGGCCGAAGCTCTATTAGTTCCATGAATAGGCGCTCAAAAGAGACCTTTGTGGTCGAGTGATGAGAGGTGCAAACAGTGGCATTTTCAGTGATTCCTCTGGTAGGTGGAGCGCTGCTGGCAGATGTTCCAGGTATCTTTGTCCATTGCAGGCCAGGGAAAGCGATCTTTGATCTTGTATAGGGTCTTTTTGGGTGTGTATGTGCACCCCAAGAGGAAGCTTGTGGGTACTGTGCATTAGGGCATTTATCTTGGAGCATGGAAACACCGGAAACTGATAAACATGCCTGCTACGCCCTTCTTCATTGTTAAGCATTGTGATGGTAGGTGGGTCTTAAGCTAGTGTATTCTCTGTAGATGGAGGACAGAATAATGCAAGAGGGGTCCTCGTGTTATTATTGAGTGAAACTGCCATCCCTTTTGTCTTGTTAATGTAGACAGGTCAAGGGGTTACCTTGAGGGACTTTCTCACTTGCATCACCGATCTCTTTCCCCTCTGTAACAAACAGCACCATTCAATATCTTGAGGCAGGGAGTCACTCTTTCCTCCCCTTTTCTTTTCATCTCCTGGCTTGAGCTGGAGTGGGCCATGCTGCGGTCACCCCAGAAAGTCCGACCTTGCTGACAGAAATACACTCCAAGCTTATGGTATTAAACATTTGAGCCACCTCGACTCAGACCGGTATTTTTTTGAGATAGTCATGGCCCAAAGCCTCTTCACTAAGGAGAAGAAAATAGGCCAGGTGGACTTCCCACACTATTTACAGGGCTGGGATTTGTACCCATTCGGCCTCATCTTACAACTCCCACTCTGTGATGGGTTCAAAGGTATACAGGTCCCAAAGTCATTGTTAGGGGTAAATTTAATGAGGACAGTGTAGGCCACAAACAGAGGCCATGACCTGGGCTGCCAACATGTCCTTGATCTCATATTTCAGACTTCAGGCCAGATTGTGGGTTCTTGTTGGCAAAGTCTGGTCTACAGTAGATCTTACAGGATTGGATTCATAGTGTTCTAGTGAGAGAGAGAGACAGAGCTGACAGAGCTGAGTGAAGGACCAGTGCAATGTGTCCATTAGGGCATTACTCATTTGCTTATGCCTCCATTTTCCACCCATGTAAGATACTTGTGACCTGAACTTGTGGGCTGAACGCAAATCCCATAAACAGAGGTGAGCAGTGTCACGTCCCAAAGGGACCAATTTATTACCAAAGTGTCACAAAGTGAAAGGGGAAAGCTGTTGGTGGGAAGTATTCTGGATGGTGGGTCTGTAGGAAGCAGGTTTCTGGAGGTGGACGGTGAATCATGTAAAGAGAGGATGCTTTCACACCACCTGTCAAACCTCAAAATCATGCAGTAGAGAGCATGAAGTGATATTTGGACTTTTTTCTTTTCAATTAAAAAAAGAAGAGCGATTACACTCTACTCAAATGATGGCATTCATTTTCTTACATTGTACTTAAATGTTACGGTTCCCATGTCCTGGAGGACTGTTAAAATGCTTTCTTATTTTGTAACATATTAAGAGCTTATTTAACTTTTGAATTATGCTCCTTTTTGAGCATAGGCTATCATCATTTTCATTATAGCCCACCAAACTGTGCTAAAAGGACATACAGTCCCCTTCATAATTATTGGCACATCTTGTAAATGAGAAAAAAAGGTTTGTAAGAAATTCATTTTTTGTGAATTAGCATAATCTCACACTAAAAAAATGAGAATACTCCAACTTTTAATTAGTTGAGGTAAATTTATTCTGAGAAAAAAAAACCCTAATCAAGAAATAAATATTTTAACAATACCACATGTGCCACGATTATTGGCACTCCTAGAAATTCTTAGAAACAAAATGTAATTGAAGCATTTTTTCGATTTATATTTTACTTCTTTAAGTTGATCAGGGTCTCTAGAAACTTTCAAGCAGTATATCATGACTTCCTTTT